CGTTAGGTAGTCGCTAATCAGGGCGATAGGCAGGCCAAAAAGCTTAGCCAGGTCCTTTACTCAAGTTTGGTTTAAAACAGTCTCCTTAAGAATAAAGTAAGGAAGCTAAGAGAGGCTCTAGTTAATGAGAGAACACGTAGGAAACGAGGTAAGCCTCTACCCCTACAGGAGGCTGAGGAGTATTATAGTGGAGCTGTATTCTGGTCTCCAAGGAAGGTGAAGGAGGCGCGCGATCGCCTACAACTCTAGGAGGAGGAGGAGGAGCAACTGCAACTCTAAAAGGCTGATACGAGAAGACAGCGTGAGGAGACAAGGCAGGTTAGGGCGAGGGAGAAGGAGCAGAGGCGTCAGGCGAGGCTTGCAGTAAGTCTAATGAGGCAGAAGGAGAGGGAGGAGAAGGCTATTGAAAAGGCCTTAAGGATCGCGGCTCGCAAGGCTGCAAAACAACTTTAAAAAGCTATTAAAACTTCTCAAAGGGGTAGGAGAAGGAGCTTCATGGCTCCTGCAAAGGCTACTCAAAAAAAGAAGCCTATCGCGAGGCCTTAAGGTGGTGAGGAGCCTTAGGGAGGTGCTGCAAGCTCACCACCTCCAACCTCGCGTCGCGGCCGCGCGATTAGAACTCCGTCTTGATTTCTATAGCTGTATATATATATTAAAGCCTATTGATCTCACCACCAAAATATATCGTGATAATATCTATTTGGTGTGGCTCTATAGCCTCGTTTTTAAGGTAGTTTTGGTGAGGCCGCGCGCGCACTTTGTGGTCGCGCGCACTTTGTGGTGGGGCTAGTTATATATAGTTATAACGTGTTTCACCAGTAAGCGGGCCACCCCAGTATGTAGGCCACCTCCCTAAACTTTTACATCTTTGTAATAGTATTGCGCAACACCACTACAATATTTTTTATTAAGTAGAATAAGATATTATTCTTCAGACGCATTGCTATCCTCTGTATCCTCTAATTCTACTTAACAAGTGCGAGAGTTGTGTCCAATTTAGCTGCAACGCCCGTAGCGCCGTTCACTACGCACCCTCTTCGCAGACGTTGCACCATTATTATAGCTACCACCCTCTGCCTTAGCGATCTGATTAGCTATCTGGCCAACTGTCTAGGACCCCTCTGCCTGTACGTAGCGCCTCTTACGAGTTTTTCGCTTCGTTACTTTAGTAATCGTAGCTTTAAGGCGATCAAGTTTCTCCTGCATTAACACTATATTATAAGCTATCTGCTGAGCTCCCTTACTTAACTGCTGTATCTGCTCCTTAAGAGAACTTGTAGGAGACCCTTGCTGGATTTGCATACGGTTTCGAATAAGCGTAGCCTGCGCCTCCATTTCGCGCGCGTTGCGCGGCGTTTTCGGCTCCTAAGCAGTAGTCTCTTGCGCTGGTGGAGTTGGCGTACGCAGCATGACGTTAAGCTGTGATAAAACAACGTTATAATCGTGCGGTGAAAGTCCAGCACCTTGGAACCCTCCGCGGATATTTTCTGGTGTAATAGCCTTATAATAGGCCTTTTTAAACGCTGGTAGGAAGGTTTCTTTGCTAATATAGTAGATGCAATTGCGTGCTAAGACCGAGATAGCATCACCATACGCGCGCTTTAACGGCGAGAAGCAGCCCACATCAAGAGGCTGTAAGAGGTGCGACGAGTGGGGAGGCATACAGAGGAGGATTATCTTCATCTCTTCGCAGAGATCTCGGAAATCCACCGAGCAGTGGCTCTCATGGCCGTCAATAATAAGCAGCCTATGCGTCCCCACAGGCCGCGCATAGGAATCAAAGTGACGAAGCCAGTCAAGCGCTAGATCGTTGTTCGTCCAGCTAGTAGGACTAACTTGGATCACCTAGTCGCGTGGCAGATCCTCTGTAAACTAGGTAGAGATCAGAACCTTGCTAGCGAAGATAAGAAACGCTAGGATACGCGTGCCTGTTGCGCCAACGCCTTGTATTAGCGTAACCCACTCACGATTGCCTAGCTGGATCTTCTTTGTTCTCCCTAGTTTGTCTGAGCCTGTGATAACTGACTGTGATAAAATCTTGCCCATAATAAAGCTAGTCTTATCAAAGTTATAGATATCTTCGTCTACGATACCATACTTTGCCTTCATATTCTAAACTAGCTTAAACCAGCCCTTAATAAGCGCTGGGTCTTCGCAGAGAGCTCGCTGGTGATCGTATGGACGGCTCCGGCGCGTACGCAGCTCAGGATTGCGCTGGACAAACCTATCAACCTAGTTCTTGCCCACCTCCTTCCCGCCACGCTCTCGGAGCAGTCTGTTGGCCATATCTCGCACGTTGTCTTTCCCACAGGGTAGTCCTCGCTCAGCCTCGACTATTACACGCATAGTAATAGCCTCCTCTTCTAGTTTTGTTAGGCGCCTTGCTGGTGGCTCCCAATCGCTTCGAGGGCGCTGTCCAGCTCGTCGACGCTAGATTGTTGTTCGTGGGACGCTATAGGCGGCAGCAGCGCGTCGTTCACTCTGAATTTGTTTAGAATTAAGATTAGTAATAGCAAGAAATAGATCTGCTTTAGTATAAGTTTTTAACGCGTTGCGTTGTTGAGACATTACGCGTTGTTGTTGCAAAGGTGGGATATCATAGGGAAGTGGCCCACATACTGGGGTGGCCCGCTTACTGGTGAAACACGTTATATATATATATATACACGTGGAGAGCAAAAAGCTCAAAAAACTAGAAAGTGAAAACTAGAAAGTGGAAAGTGGAGATAACATTGCAACTTCAGATTAGGAAAATTGGGTAAGAATGGTCTTTGCAGGAAAGCGCTTAGGAGAAGGAGAGAGAGAGGAACACCCCCAACCCCACCTCTGAATAAGCGATATGGGAAAAGAAAGAAGATAGGGAGAAAAGAAAGAAAGAAAAGACATGGAGTCTTTATATTGTGATATAAGAATTTTGGGGGTTTTTTTTAAAAAAAAATTTAATATAGAGGGTGAAGATGAAGCCTATGTATGTATATATGTATGTATGTATGTATGTATATATATGCAAGGGGAAACTTGGATATGTAGGAAGAGGAAGGGAGATAGGAATCTAGTTTGTATTTCTTCAAACCAGCTTTTTGATTTCTTAATGAAAGATTGTAGGGAAAGATGATGATGATGATGATGATGATGATGATGATGATGATGATGATGATGATGATGATGATGATGTAGACTAAATAAAGGAGGGTAGACGGAGTGGCGAGCGACTTCATAGAGAGGTGCCCTCAGTCGCAATGTAGCTCTCTGGAACAGGTAAAGGTTTATTTCCACAAACACACATTCATCACAAAGCACAAAGGACATGCATGATGAGGAGACAAGCATATGGTCGTGGAAAATCGTCGAATGATATTGTTTTCTCTTCCAACATGACCCTGATAATAGCCCACAGCCAAAAAAAAAACCACCACCACCACCACCCATCCCCCCAACCTTCCATACCATAACCACCATAGGCCGGTTAACACCCCTTCACCCTCTACCTTACTCCGCCCCACCCGATCCTTAACCCTTGATCAAAACGCATTTCCTCCTCAGTCCGCAGATCAACGCCTCTCTTCCTCCATCTTGAGACATTGAAGCCGTACCAATCATCCGATTAAACCCAAGAAAGAAAGAAAAAAGAGAGAGAAGAAGACCAAAAAAAATCAATCGATCAGAGAAAAAAAAACGCCAATCCCCATTCGCGCTATTTTCCAGCTGCGAAGGTATCCTCGTGGGGGGATGCATATGCAACGCACAAAACTCCAGTTGATGTTTCCCCCATTGTCTCCCCCAAAGTTGCCTCCCCCCTCCAAAAAGAAAAAGAACATTGAAGCCCAAACCTAATCGGCCGTGAAACATCAGAAGCTTCATAAAACAGCTAGTGTGAGAACAAAAGAAAAGGAAAGAAAGAGAACAAAGGAAAGAAAGGTCTCCAAGCGGAAACTGTGAAAAAAGCAATAGGAATCGCCCATTTGCCTTTTTTTTTACCATGTCCAAACTCCGGACCGCAGTGCGTAGTACAGCAGCAGAAAAATCATCAAGGTACACCTGTATGGCGAGATGGCTGCAGATCCATGCTGTAACCAAGACGATGATGATGAGGGTGACGATGCGGAACAATGACAAACAATCAAGCGCAGATAATTAACTCATGTCCATCATGTCGGCATCGCCATAGTGTTCGTCGCTGTATGTAGCAAGAACCTCGTCGCTCGGGCCAAAATTGCCCTCGTAGATGGTGGCACCCGAGCGACGCCGAGAATCAACCCACTGGCAGCCATAGCACTGAAGCACTTGGTCTGCGGTTGGTCGTTGATCAGGGTCGCGGTTCAGCATTGCATACACAACGTGGTCCATGGAGTTGGGGTCGTTGCGCTGGACCATAAAGGATGGTGCGCGTGCAAGGTCTTCCTCAGGGTTCGATGCTGCCTTGACTTGAATGGGGGCCATTGAGTCCTCATCCGCGTCAGACATAAGGAAGCCGTCCATAGAAGGCCTCTGTGGCTCGGAGACTGGGTCGCCGTGAGAATCTCGGCTGAGGGTGCTGCTGTCGGCGCTCCAGGTCAAGCTTGGGAGCACGTTTTCGAATTCGCCAGAGCGGAGCTTCTGCCAGTAATCGCCGTTCTCGGGGATGACGCAGTTACCGGCGATTTCGGCGAGCATCATGCCCAAGGCAAAGATGTCGGCAGGCTTGTCGAAGCGACCAGAGAGTTGCTCGGGGGCGAGGTAGTGGCGGTCACCCTCGCCATCGATACCAGCAGGAGCTGGCCACTGGCTCGCCAAGCCAAAGTCTGCAATCTTCAGCCCGCCTTCAAAGTCAATGAGAACGTTGGCGGGCTTGAGATCGAGGTGAATGTATCCTGCTTCATGAATGGCTTTGAGGCCCTACAATGAAATCAGCCCGGATCATGAACAAAGACTATCTTTAGACTCACCATCAAAAGCTCAAGCAGGATCTTCCAGATGCGGAAGTCATCGAGACGGCTATTAAAGCCAACGGTATCCAGGTATTTCCTCAGATTACCGCCCTCGCAGTACTCGGTCTGAATGTAGAGATGCTGGTCAAACTCCCAGTGGGTGTTGATGGACAGCACGTGTTCGTTGCCGCGGAGAGCATAGAGAATTTCCACTTCGCGCATCTTCTTTTGGCGGTCGCCTGCACCCATGTAGGGCTTCTTGGACTTCTTGACTACCCAGACGTTGCTGCCGGCAGGCGACCTCTGGGGCGAAGGCTTGACTGGATGACTGACACGGTATACAGTTGAGAACTCGCCTTCTCCGCCATCGAGAGGCCTGATTTCGTGGAATCGCTCACTGATGGACTCATCGACATCGTTCTTCGTCAGGCCAATGGGAATTGCACCTGACACGCTGCCGAAGAAGCCAGAATCACGAGGTGTTGTTGGGGTCGCGGGTGCAAAGTTGCCAAAGCTGGCGTTAAAAGGAAACGACCCGCGACGGTTACCGGAGATTGACAGCCTGCTTGCATCAAGAGGTGCATACGGATCATTCGCAGGTGTCGATGGTGATGGGGCGCCAAAAAGACTTCCAGCAGCTACCGATTGATTAGTGCGGTTCTCGAGCTTGGAGGGATGTACTTACTCGTTGGTCGGCCATCGTTGTCAGGAACCGCAAACGTGTTCGAGTCAATAGAAGGACGCGAACGGAACGTCTTGCGGCGCAGGCTGCTTTCCTTTGAGCGGCGGCTGGAGTTGCCGCTAGGCTTGGTGGGTGTTGGTGGCATATCGTCCACACTGGACTGACTGTCGCCCATGCGGTTCGCGGTCGGCGACTGGCTGTCCGGTTGAGTGTCATCGTCGTTGTCGCCATCGTCAATACTGACAAAGCTGCCGCGGCGCTGCATGGTGTTGCCAATGTCGCCGAAGATGCTTGGTCGCTTACCAAACGACTCTGTGGAGAACTTGGACACATTTGCACTGAATGGTGTGCTAGGTGTGCCAAACTGGGGTTGTGGTCGCGCATCGTTGCCGAACAGGCTACCCGATCGCTTTACCAGAGGTGTGTCTAGATTGACTGTCCGGTCTGCCGCAGCTGGGGGGAACGACTGGCGCTTTGAAGGCGTATCGGGCATCACGTAGATGCCGCCTGCCGCTGGCTCGTCGGCATTGCGGTTCTTCTTGGAGAGAAGGCCGGTGGAAAATGCGACGGGTGCCGGCTGCGCAGCCTTGAAGGGGGTGTCAAACGACTCGTGCGCCGACTGCTCGCACTCGGTCTCATAGGGCCGGCCTATACCGAGTGGGAGCGAACGAGAGAAATGCGGGTTGCTTGACATGGGATGTGGGGGAAATGCAGACGTGTTCCACTGCACGGCTGGAGCTCGGGGAGGGGCCATTGGCGTACCGCTGAGACTCGATGAAGCAGCGCGCGGAGTGTGCGCATGCGATAGAGGATGTGTCTGCATTCCAGCTCCCGCTCGAGGAAGAGGCTGGGGCAAGCCCATGCGGCCGGCGTCAAAAGTGGATTTTCGGAATGGTGTCTGCGCGGGCAGGGCGGATGTCGCTGCTGCATTGTTTGTTGATCCGTCAAGCGATGTGCGAGTGCGCGTCTTGGAAGCGGCCGGGCCGGGGAAGGCAAACTCCCCGTCATAGCTCGGCTTACGCGGGGTGTTGGAGCGCTGTGATAAGGTCGACCGGCGCAGTGATGTTGTTCGGCGAACAGGCGATTGCGCGCCCGAGATGGGCGAGCTATTGAAGCAGAATTCGTTGCTGGCGTCGTTGCGCTGGCGGGATGCGTCATCTGGCGAAGCGCGGGGTGCGGGGGGATCAAAGATGCTCTCAAAGTCGTTTCCAAGACTCGGGACCCCGTGAAGACTGCGGCGCTTTGCCATGGGACTGGATCCGGGGGATCCGCTGACGTTCATGAGTCCATCATTGCGCTTTAGTGGGCTCGATTTGGCGGGGGGTACAGGTGATAGCTCGGCGCGGCGGGCAAACTCAAACTTGATGGGTTTGTCGTCGACTTCCAGTCGCTTGTCCATGTCCATGGTGCCGGGCGACTCTGGGCTGGATCGTCGCGAGGGAGTGTTTTCCTGGCCAATCGTCGGCCACGTCATAAACGGCGTCGCGTTACCAATGTCGGTGGTCTCGGCCAAGGCGCGGCGTCGCGGGCTCTTGGATTTGCTGTTGCGGGTGCGCGGAGACGAGCGCAGCGGCCCTGAGCGGCGCAGGGAGAACTTCTTCTTGGCTGGAACTGCCTGGGCGAGCGGGGACTCTGGGAAGGTGGCGGTGGGACTCGTGGGCTTGTGGGCGCCCTTGGGAGAGAAGGCGCGCGCAATAGCGAGCGGGGAAATGGGCGAGCGGGGCGTGTCCGAGTTGCGGAGCTGGAAGCGCGACTGCTTGGAGGGTGAGCGCGAGAGGGAGCGGCGGAGTTCCTGGAGGTGGGAGAAGTGGGTGCTGTCGAGCCGGTAGCTGTGAGGGTGCGTGGGCGAGGGAAAGTGCATGGTACCACACTCCCGGCTAGGCGAATATCCAAAGTCCATGGTAGGAGCAGCGAGGCAAGACGATGTGGGTGCGCCTGGGGTGCGTGGTGCGACTGTGCCGGCGACGGATGCGGGTGTTGTTGTCGTGGTGGTGGTGGTGGTGGTGGTGGTGGTTGTTGTTGTCGTCCCCTGGTTGACTGGTGCCGTCGTGTTTAGGCAGGCGCGACGCACATGGGGATCGAGTTGGGCTGGGGGACGATAGCGACAGAGCTGGCGGTGGCGCAGACGAGTGCGGTGGAGCGGGCGCGGGCGATGGGCGCGGGCGGGCGGAATGCGTCGATGGCGGGCAGAGGGGGCGATGTCGTCGTTGTTGTTGGTGGGCAGTCTTGGCGGCTCGGTGCCGTAAATGCACCTCAGCAAGCAGCGGACACGGTGTGCAGCTGCTCCATACAAGGCCGGGCGAGGATGCAAGCGGAGTGGGGGGAGGGCTGGCGGGAGGGCAGCAGGTGGAGAGGGCGTGGCTGGGTCGTGTTGGCGTGTCGGGGGGCGATTCGCTGCGTGTCGTGGTGAGGCGTGGTGGGAATGCGCGCGTGTGTTGAGGCCGAGTGCCTAGGGCGGGCAAGTGCAGGCAGGCGCGGGCGCGCGACGAGGTGGTGATGCAGCACAACGCAGAGCAGGGCGAGAGCGAGAGAGGGCGATCGAGCGATGAGGAGACCCTTCTTGCGCGCGACTGCGATCGGCTGGGAATGCGGTGGTATATGGGAGGAGACGCGTTCGCGCTGGCGGTCTTTTCGACCGTGTGGCACCAAGGCGCGCGGCCCGTGCACGCCTCACCCACCCGACGACACCCTGCAGCAAACCGTTAGCCTCGCCTGCCAATCGATGGCAGCGCAGCAGGGCCATGGTGAAGCACGCAAGCACAGCGACACACACGGCGGCGCTGCATCGGCGCTGCATCTGCGGCGCGCGCTGTTGCAGCTGTTCGCGGCGCCATCCAGCGCAGTGCAGCGCGGTGCAGTGCAGTGCAGCGCAGCTGGGCGTCTTTGCCACATGGCATTGTGTGTGTGTGTGTGTGTGTTTACCGTCACTGTTTATTGTTGATCAACAATAGCGGCTAGCGCAAAACAACGCTCGCTCGCCCTCGCCACCTCAGGTCTCCCCATCCGCCCCCCCTCCGCCCCCTCCCCCCCCCCCCAAGGCTCGCTGCACGC